ATACTCTATATAACTCTATATAACTCTATATAACTCTATATAACTCTATATAACTCTATATAACTCTATATAACTCTATATAACTCTATATAACTCTATATAACTCTATATAACTCTATATAACTCTATATAACTCTATATAACTCTATATAACTCTATATAACTCTATATAACTCTATATAACTCTATATAACTCTATATAACTCTATATAACTCTATATAACTCTATATAACTCTATATAACTCTATATAACTCTATATAACTCTATATAACTCTATATAACTCTATATAACTCTATATAACTCTATATAACTCTATATAACTCTATATAACTCTATATAACTCTATATAACTCTATATAACTCTATATAACTCTATATAACTCTATATAACTCTATATAACTCTATATAACTCTATATAACTCTATATAACTCTATATAACTCTATATAACTCTATATAACCACGCATACTACCACATTCAATCAATAAAAATCTCACTAAAACCAGGAACCACCGTGTACCTGTTATATGTACGGTGTGAAACAAAACAAAAAAAAACACAAAACAAAAATCACACCACCAAGTAGAGTAAAAGAATAGGAGTCCCTAACCTACCTATGTAACTAAATTACCTTATGCCCTAGCCTACCTATATAATAAATTAATCTCAACCTCACCTACCTACTATGCTTCATTAACTTAACTCAAGACTCATGAAGAAAGAGAAAAAAAAGAGTAAAACAGAACATAAAATATTACCACACAAACAAACATGATGTATATGTATGTATGCATAAGCAACCGCTATAGAACCCACCTAAAATATAAAAAAATACAATATACAAACACACAAACCACAGGCAACATATATAACTCTATATAGCTCTATATAATAAAAAAAATAAAAAATTTAAATAAATAAGATCAGACAGACTGCTTCAAGCGAGGCAGAATGCCTGATCTGATTTTCGTGTTGTCTCAGCTCCTATTTATACTCGCTTCAACCATACATTTTCATCATTTCAATAATTCACATCAGTAAAAAAACATATTTAATGTATGTACTACACTATTATACAGTCTCAACCACAATGCTAACCGTACTAAATTGACGTCACCGAACGAACGCCTTCGAAACTTTCTGATTGGCTGGTTGAATCTGCTATATTGGCTTTTTATATAAACATATAATCTTATTAATTATTTGTATACATGGATTCTAGTTACTTCGGGTAGAATTCAAAATAGTTT